TGTTGTCATCCGAGTCCTCCATGCGGCGAACCCAGTACTTTTCACTGTGCATGCTGACATATGAGAATATGTCAACATAGACTGCAGACAGGGACTTCTGGAAAGGTCTGAAAGATAGCCACATACAAGATATTGGAGTCCAAGGGGTAATAAGGAGAGGCAGCACCTTTGTGCTCAATACCATTCTGATAAAAAGAAAAGCCTTCGTTCTGTGAGAGCACTGTGTGCTTTCCCTTGGTACTTCTACAATGTGATTGTCTTCACTTGTCCCTCTTTCAATTCATATTCCTTCTGTTACCATTCTTGCTTCAGGGTGAGTAAAGTGTTGTTTGACAAATGTCCTGAAAGCAGCTGTAAGATCCTACAATCCAATTTGCATTAGGTGACACACTGTAGAGACTTAAAAACTCAAAAAAGCTGATGGAAAAAACCTTCAGTGTCCCACCCTTCTGTTCCAAAGGCAGGTTCCTCCAGCCCAGCCCTCCAGCTCTCTCCATGGGATTTTTTATTGGGTCTCATAAACTTTCTGAAGCCATCAATTCCATTTCGCCTATATCGATTTCCTTGTTTGCGATCACTGACTTATAGATCCTCAACACTCAACAACCAAATCTTTAATGTATAAAGCCTCTGTTTTTGTTTACTTGCAGTATTTACTAGTATTTACTAGTATTTACTAGTTAAATACTGCCTTTCTTTAAAATGTTTATTTATTTCAGGCATTTGTTGTCACACTTTCCCAAGGGTGGCCCAAGGGTTTTCCACACCCTAGGCAGGCCAGCCCAAATACCACCACCACCCAAGTCGCCAAGCAGCTGGGCAGCCAGGTCTCACTTGCTCACTGATGCAACAGGAAAATATGTCAACAGTTCTATACAGGGCACTTTTTGTAGTAAAAGCCCAGCAGGAACTCATTAGCATAATGGGCCACACCCAACAGCAGAAACTCATTAGCATATTAGGCCACACCCCCATGTTACCAGAAGTGTGGTCATCTAGCCACACCCACCTTTTGCTTCTTATTCTGTTAACCTTGTTTGTTGACAAACATTTTTGACAAAACAAATCAAACTTTTTTTAAAAAAAGTTTCCAATTCCATACTTTTAATAATTCATGTTATATTTATTTTAAAAATAATGTTAACAGTAACATAAGCAAACATCTCAATAAATACTCTGGAACTTGGAAAACTATACTGAAATGGTGAGATAAGTATTAAATCTAAGTTTAGATTTAAACTTAGTGCCATCAGGAGGTCCAACAGTGGGAGGGCTTCTAGTGTCCTGGACCCACTGGTGGGCCTCCTGATGGCCCCTGGTATTTTTGGCCACTGTGTGACACAGAGTGTTGGACTGGATGGGCCATTGGCCTGATCCAGCATTGGCTTCTCTTATGTTCTTATATAAACTTCATACTTATCAAGGTGAAAGGAAACACTAGTTCACTATTTAAGGTAAGATACTAGCACCTACAAACAAATATGCTAACTATTTAAAAAAAACTGCAGGTGGGAGGTCTCACATTAGATTATACATACTAAAACTGCTTTAACCCGGAGTATTTTGATACCAGGTTCCCAAGTGGTGTTTTCCTGATTCTCCAGTTCCAGCCACACTTTTCTGACGTCTGATCGCTCCTCCGGTGTCGAGCCACTTTCTGTTTAAAACCCCTCCACGCTCGAAAGCTGCCTGAGGCTTCCGCTTTTCGCCCGCCATTTTTTTCAAGCGTTGGTAGTGCGCGCATAGGTGAAGTTCCACCACTGCGTTATTAGAAACAATGTTTAAACGGTGCCTAGTTTTAGCATGTAGACGAGTTCAGGATCTCACAGAGGCCAATTTTGGGGTAAACGTTTAAAGGGAAGTGTTCCTTTAAAGTTTAAAGGGAAGTGTTACAGCAGTCGGGTTGAAGTGGAAATCACTGTTCTGCGCACACGCGAAAATTTTAGTTCTACAGATGGCCACCTGTATGCATGCCCAAACTGAGAGAGAGAGAAAAACAACACCGACGCACGCTGTCACGAACGCGATACTAGGCCAGGCAAGAGCGTCCAAAGGCAGTCCAAAGTCAAAACCGGGCAAGCAGCAATACCGAGAGACCAAGTCCAAATCACCAACCGTTAGAGTAGTCATTAAAGCCAGAGTCCAAAGAAGTCAGAAGTCAGAAGCCAGAGCGTCAGTGGTCCGAGGTATAGATCAGGGGCAGAGTCATACAAGCCAAGGTCAGGAGCCAAGAAGTCAAGACGAGGAGCAGGAACAGGAACACGGGTGGTGAGGTGCAGAGCTTCGTCCAAAATGACTAGTTGCTAGCACAACTAGTTGGCATGAGTGCGGGAGCTAAATAGCCCATCAGGCTGTTGGCAATTAGCACGCCCTGATTGTGTCCTGGCTCCCACTAGTACTCAGGGCTAAATGACTGCCTACCGCGCATGCGTGCATCCCACCGCTGGTATGCCATGTCCCATTGGCGTTGTTCCCGCAGATGGGATACCGGTGGGAGCGAGTCAGGGGGTGTGTTGCTCCGGTGTGTGTCTGCTTCAGATGCTGCTGGAGCAGTTTCCGTGGCTTCAGGTGCAGGGTTGTCAGGAGCCAGGAGCTCATCCCCGGCAGTACTTAGGTCTTCTGCTGGGGCCAAATGCTCCAGCAGTCCAGCAGTCTGTTGATCTTCTGCTGGGGCCAAGTGCTCGGGTTCAGCAGCAGCCATGGACTGCGGGGAGTGGTGTGGCTGCGCAGAGATCTGGAACAAGGAGGTGAGTGTGATCGTGATTCTCCAGGTTAAAAACGACCACATCAGGACCGGAGCCATTTAAACTGCTCCCAGCACGCCGTCTGACCGCACCCACTGAATGTGTCCTGAGATAAAATACATCTTCCAATCTTCCCCTAAATATAATACCCATTGTGGGAAGAAATACAACAAGTTCTAGAAAGAAGCTCCAGGTGAGTGTCCCAGCTGTGTCTGCTGGGGCAACGGAGGGAAGGGGAAAATAGAGGGAGGTGAGCCATGTTTATTTTCTTCTGCTTAGTTATAGGGCAGGGCTGCCTCAAGTCATTCTGCTGCCCCTAGTGGGTAATATGGGAGCAGAGCCACATGGTAACAGGTATGGTTCCCTCCATCTCTGACCTTATGTTGATTTTGGGCTATGCAGTGGCCGCTAAGGTAGAAAAGCACCTCCTCCTAGGCCATGTTTGCTGGGTTCCAGGGGTCTGGAAAGCGGGTCAATAGCCAAGGGTTGCCAACTCTGCATTGGGAAATACCTGTAGATTTAAGGGGTAGAGCCTGTGGAGGGCACGGTTTGGTGTGGGGAGGGACCACTGCAGGGTATGATGCCATAGAGTCCACTGCCCAAAGCAGCCATTTTCTCCAGGAGAACTGATCTTGGTCATCTGGGGATCAGTTGTAGTAACTGGAGATCTTCAGGTGCCAGCTGGAGGTTAGCTTATGTTGATTTGGTACTATACCATGGCAGCTAAAGTAGAAAAGCCTCCTATGCCATGTTTTCTGGGTTCCAAGTGTCTGGAAAGTGGTACCCTAGCCAGTTACAGGGTTGGCAACTCTGGATTGAGAAGTACCTGTAGATTTGAGGGCTGGAGCCTGGGGAGGGCAGGATTTTGGGTGGGGAGGGACCTCAGCAGGACATAATGCTATAGAGTCCATTGCCCAAAGCAGCCATTTTCTCCAGGAGAACTGATCTTGGTCATCTGGAGATCTGTTGTAATAGCTGGAGATATCCAGGTGCTGCCTGAAGGTTGGCAATACTTAGGGGATGAAATGATGAACAGTGTTACCCCGTAGAGTTCTTAAATGTGCAAACACCAATAGGAATGTGTTTTCATACACTGAATGTGAAAGTTGGAGCTATTATTATGCTCCTGCAAAACCTCAATACGGAACAAGGACTATGCAGTGGTACAAAGAACTGAAAACAAATGTGATTGTTTCAGAGGTATTAACCAGTTCAGCATCCGGTAACATTATTTTTATTCTGCACATTGACCTTGTAACCTACGGACATTAACCTTCCATTTACATTACAAAGGCAACAATTCCCTGTAAAGCTTGCCTTTGCCATGACTATAAATAAATCACAAGGTCAAACGCTAGGAAAACAGTGACTACCCTCTCAAACCAGTGTTTAGCCATGGCCAACTTTATGTTGCGTTGTCCAGAGTGCGATGCTTTGAGGATGCAAAGGTTCACATTGTCCATGGACCACAGCAAGGCAAATTAATTGCCAATTCTGATAACATCTTCACCAAAAACATTGTTTACAGAGAAATTCTGCAACACTGATGACTGAATCCTCTATACCTCCTGGCCAGCTATACGTTGGGTTGTCCAGAGACCAACACAATGAGGATGTTACACTTCACATTCTCCATGCACCACACCAAGATGTAGACAAATAATTAATTCATACTAACTCTATATATACTTCATCCATGCAAAAGTCCACTACAAACCAAACACTGCAACACATAACAACCATAAGCAGCACAACATCTTGACTCAACCAACTATACAACCATCAATACCCAAACAACATATGCAGACTGTCACCCCAACATGCACTGCAGCCCTCTTCCTCCCAAATCCAGGGCACTCGCCCATATCCTCTTTCTAGAGCTCATTGTATTTATTCCCATAACGGGCCTTATTCCTAGTTTATTATAAATGTAGATAGTCCAGCAGCTATAAAGTTAGGAAGGAATTTCATTTGTTACTACAATACTTATGAACATCACCAGATACATAATTAAAAGAGTAAAGTTTACCAAACCATTTCAGTCAGTTTACTTTTGTTCTTCTATTGATACCGTAAATACAAAAAACGCTCCACCTTCAGCTTTTGGCTGATTTTCCCTTTCACACTCAAAACGTCAGGAATGCAGAATGGGGAGAAAAAGACAGAGATTGATTTCATTTTCAAGTGTTCACTCTTGCTGTTGGCAGGCCGAAATCATGACCAGCCTTTGTGTGTGTGTACTTGTTTCTTCTACAGTTGATCATTGTGGCGTGTGATCAAGGCCAACCACCGTATGAGACCATGCAGCCCCTCCAGGTGGCATTGGATGATATTGATGACAATGAACCTATCTTCCTGAAGCCGCCTGTAAGCAGGTCTATCCCCTCCCCTTCTGGACTTCACTGGAGTTATGGAATATCATATTCTCCTTGTTACTTTCATTTTTGGTGGACATTTTTAAAAATAATTTCATTTATATAATGGTGACATTTTGAACACAAAGGAGAAGTACCTTGTTCCTAAGACTAAGACAATGAGACCCATTGGGGGGGAAAGCAGCAACGTTTTAAGAGTAAAGCTGATGAAATAAAATGATGCCTTATTATAAATGCAGAACAATAGTCTTCCACCCGTGGGTTGGGGCACTCTGGTGAGTCACAGAGTCCCACCTTCTGGGTTGTGGTACCCTTTAGAGCTGTCGTTTTATTGCATTTTGAAAGGACTGGTGCTTAGGAGCATGCATACAGAGTAGCTCCCTGCCTCTTTAAAACCTACACTGAGAGGAGCATTGGGACAGGCTGATGAGGTCACTTGGTGGAATTCCTCTTTATTAGCACAGACAGGTTCAAAGACTCTGGCTGCTAATCTTTTGGTCACATGACTCTGATGCCATGTGTTTACCACTCAGTGAGTTCCTACTGGACCCCAGGAGTTAAAGTGGGTCCCAGATGTGAAAAAGTTGAAGGCCACTGATTTCTGACCACTGGCCAAACCATCTCAGCATTGTCCAGCTGCTATCCAGACTCTTTCTCCAGAGGTGTTTAATCCTAGAATCTTTTTAATGTGGATTCCATGGACTGAATCAGAGTTGAATACTTTCAAAGAATATACATTTCAGCATGTGGAATATATATAGGTAGTGTAAGAAAAAGGTACTCTGACCTGGATAGCCCAGGCTAGCAAGATCTTATCAGATGTTGGAAGCTAAGCAAGGTCAGACCTGGCTAGTATTTGGATGGGAGACCTCCAAGGAATACCAGGGTCGTGACACAGAAGCAGGGAAAGACAAAAACCACCTCTGAAGTCTCCTGCCTTGAAAACCCTATGAGGTTGCCATAAGTCAGCAGTGGCTCAGCGGCACTTTCCATCACTGCCACCAAGAAGAAGGCATGGGATCCGATGGATCTTCGACGTGGTCTCTGTGCTTCACACCCATGGGATCTAGTGCACACGCGCTGGATCAATCGGTGCTCTCTTTTAACAGATTTTCGCGCCCAGTTCCTCAGGCATTCGCAGGAACCCCACCACGCATACCCAGAGGGGTGGGCGCGGACATCCTGCCAGTTCCTTTCTTACCACAACATTGAGTAGACCTCTTCTTTGTCGGTCCGATCGGTTAACTGTTAGCTTTTGCCTCACAGCTCTTAAGAATTATTCCAAACCTTGCTTTACTTTACATTTTTGGTTGTTTGTTCTTCAAAAACAGTTAAAAAAAAGAACTTTATTATCTGCTGAGGGGGAGTTGCTCCTCCTGACCATCATACCCTCTGCATCTTTTGCCTCGGAGAGTCTCACCAGCCAGAGTCCTGTCGTCACTGTGCGCGTTTCTCCAATCAAACGCGAAAAAATCGTGCTGTGCGCCTTAAAGTGGCGCTGCTTGAATCGGCCCTTGCTCCTGTCTCAGTGATGGAGGAGAGACCGTCTACATCAACAGCTCCGGCATCGAGGCCTGTCTCCACCCGACCGTCCGACACCGAAGCTCCCGGCATCGAAGGGACACTCATCAGCCTCCACGCCAGTCAAAAAGAAGGCTAAGGCAAGTAAAGATCACAAATCCGCGAAGAAGGGCACGTCCAAGTCCCTCAAGGCAGCGAAAAAGTGGAAGGAAGCGGTGCCTGCACTGGGTGATGCCCCTATAGTGCCTCCCGCTCCAATGGCAGTATCGATATCGGAGGCCCAAGTCCCTCCACCGATACCAACCATCCAACTATTGGATTTCACCATCCAACAAATGAAGCATCCTTACTCCGACATCGAAACGGTAGAGCTCCTAAGTCGTCACATGCATTGCAGAGCCTTCTCCGTCTCCTTCTCTGTCGTCGACATCGACGGTATCGGAAGCTCCTGACATCGATCCACGTCAGCACTGATATACTTCATGCGATGCGCAACGTCACCCTCCACGTTGGGTCGCTCAACCTGTCGATATCGACAAATGAGACTACAGGGACGGCTCCCGCAGACAGGCTACTGCTTTGTCTACAAGACGTCCACGGTCCAGAAGTCGCTCCCCAAGAGTCTTCCTGCCCCTTCCACCACCAGTGTCATGGGATCAACGACAATTGAGGTACTTGTACGGGGCTTATTCACCATCCATGCTGTGGTTGACTCCGGCGGGCTATTCTGATTGGGATCGCTATTCGTCCCACTCTGTTCATAGGTTGAGATCGCCCCACAAGTCGAGACCTTCAGCATCTCTGTCATGTCCTCCTGTAGTCGATCCTTCACACCATACTGTGGAACCAAGTCATCCTCTAAACCCTCCGGTCACTCCAACCCCGGTCGTCGTCCAAACTAAACCCATCACTTATCAACAGGACACTTCGGTCCAAATACCACAACAAGACTCCTCTGACTTCATAGAAGAGGACTCAGATACGGAGGCTTCTGAGGCTCATACCTCTCCTGACCATACGTCTCCCAACCAGGATGTCGCTGAGGACTTACCCGTATCCCCATCAGACAACCTTACATCTTACACAGATCTAGTCAAAAGAATGACCCACTATGTCGTCCAGCAACATCCACAGGCAACAGATGGAGTTTATGATATAGTTCAGCTAGATAGCTGTTCCACCTTGGCATTGCCCATGTCGTCAGTCCTTCTGCAGGCAGCAAGGACACCATGGCTAAAACCTTTGTCTGCTCCGGTGTCCACAAGGCGACTGGACCACATGCACAGGGTACAAGAGGCAGATGCCCAATTCCTATTCTCACACCCTCAGCCAAACTCTATGGTGATTACATCTTCCTCCAAATCCAAGAGGACACATTCCACTCCTTCTGACAAGGAAGGAAGGAAATTAGATGCCATTGGCACACACTTCTACTCCATGGGAGCACTGGGAGTCAAGGCCACTACCTACCTGGCCTGTATGAACCAGTATCAATATACTCTAAACATGTCATTTTCCAGAACGATGGCCTCTGCAATAGCTCTCAGAAGACATTCCTGGCTCCGCAACACTAATCTCCTGATAGATACTAGATCCTATGTGGAAGATCTCCCTTTCGATGGCAGAGGCGTTCCTCAACTCATCAGTCTCCAGGCACACGATGGAGACCACGAACGTCTTCGAGAGGGCATAGACCCGCCTTTCAAAAACCGAAATTCGGTTCCGGACAACAAACTTCCCACACCAAACAGTCCAAACAATCCAAGCAGGCTTTTTGACTGCCCTGTCACCGAGTCAGCTCCTACCCGTCTGTTTTCCTTACTTCACGCTTGACGTCTCATCACCTTGGACGAGTGGGTGCTTTCCATCTTGACCCGAGGCTACAAAATTCAGTTCCACGAGAACCCCAATACTCCTGTCGTCGTCTCCACGCCCCCTTCCCCACCTCTCCTCGAGGAGGTGTCCGTCCTACTGCAGAAGGGAGCTATCGAACATGTTCCCCCACACCTCCAAGGGCGGGATTTTATTCCCAATACTTCACAGTTCCGAAGAGAGATGGAGGCATTCAACCCATATTAGATTTAAGGGAACTGAACCGTTTTGTGACCTACCACCACTTCTGCATGGTATCCCTACAACAGATCATGCCGTTGCTTCGGAAACACGTCTGGATGGCCACCCTCGACCTCCAAGACACATATTTCCACCTTACTATCCACCCCTTCCACCGCCAATACCTCCGCTTTGCGATTGGTCAACAGCACTATCAGTATACGGCCCTTCCATTCAGCCCGTCCAGCGCCCCAAGGGTCTTCACAAAGACTATGATTGTAGTTGCAGCTTTCCTCCGTCTCCAGGGTATCTCCATATACCCATATATAGGTGATTGCCTTCTGGTAGCGCATTCCAAGGACGCCCTGGTCTCCAATGTCACAGAGACTCAGGCACTATTGGAGAATCTGGGCCTGCGAGTCAATCGGCAAAAGTCTCAATTGTGTCTGGTCCAGTACATCGGCGCAATACTGGATTCGAAGACATGCATGGCTTACCTGCCCCACGACAGGGCAGCAGATATCATTTCCTTAGCCACCATCGTCCATATCCAACCCTCTGTCACTGCCTTCCAGATTCAGAGGCTGCTAGGCCTGATGGCTGCAACGACGTCGGTCCTCGTCTCTGCAAGACTCAAAATGCGCCCTTTACAGCTCGGGTTTATCCGCAACTACGACCTGTCGAAAAATGCACACAATGTCATCCTATCCCCTCTTCCCAGCATACAGGACTCTTTACTTTGGTGGACTATCCCTTCAAATATCCTTCAGGGAGCGCCCTTCCACCCTCCGTCACCCGAGGTCACCATTACAACGGATGCTTCCCTGACAGGATGGGGTGCACACTCCATGGGCCTTTCTGTCGGAGACAAGTGGAACACACAGATGAGGAAGCGACATATAAACTTCCTAGAACTCCTGGCTATACAACACGCTGTCACCAGTTTCCTCCCTTTAATCAAGGGAAAATGTGTCACGATCCTCACGGACAACACC